GGGGGAAGCTGGAGCTGTCGTGGCGGGGCGTAGCGCTGCGGCGGGGCGCACCGCAGGACATCGCACCGGCACCGCGCGCCGCCGCGCCAAGGAAAGGAAGCTCGCGAGCGAAATTTATCGTCTCGCGGCCGCAAGCTCCGCTCAGCTCGGCTGTCCGCGAGGCGATAAGATCGCACGGCGGTCGCGGGCGGGGCGGGGCGGGGTGGGGCGTGGCGGGGCTGCGGTTAACGGGCCGTCGGCAAGAGTGTCGCGTCCCTGCTGCAGAGCTCATTACACACGCCACAGCTGTAATTACAAGTGTACGTACTTCCATCGCGCCATTGCGCGCAGCAGGTATGAGGATGACATCCATATACCCACCCGCTGATACAAATATAGAGTCTCCATATGTTCTTATTGGCTTAAAAAGTACAGTATTGCCACTGTACTCTACTACAAACGCGACGAAGCCAAGTTTCAAGGTCCCCTCAAAAGTTTGTGAAACAGGTTACTTTATGGCTAATCAAGCAAAGCTAAGAAAAGCAACAAATTGAAATTATTATAAATAAAAATGTAAAATCTGTGAGCAAATTAAATGAGCAACGACAAACTAATTCAGCCAAAAATGTATTGCATTCAACTCGTTGGCTGAGTTCAGGTAATGTACGACGAAAGCCAAGAGTTACAGGCCAGAGACGAGAAGTTTGTGAAACAGGCTGGCTGCTACCAGCCTAACAGACGTGATAAGTAAGTAACTTCAAGTAACAAATTCAACTATTTGAAAATAAAAATGTGAAATTTGTGAACATTGAAACGAGCAGTGACAAAATATGCATACTAAAACAGCCAAAAATGCATTGTATTCAACCAGTTGCATCATTGTTATCGCCGTGCATTTAAAAAGCCGCGCGCGCTGGGCGGCCCCGCGAAATGACAACAGTCGTTTTGGTCGTTTGTTTTCCGGCGCGTCGCTGCTGGTGCCTCTGCCTGCCGCAGTATCCGTCGCGCCGCCGGAGCGGAATGTGTTTGTTTGTGATTTGACCAATTAAGAGTTCCTGATTCATCTATGTAACTAAGTGTGGCAAGTATTTTTGCAAGTGTTAACCATACAAGATGACGCAGCGTTTGGATTACATCGAGCAAGCAGGCGTTCACAAAAGAGAATGAATGGCACCAAAAGTAAGATTCAAAGAGTTGGTTGACTCACCGAGCTGGGACGATCGATGTTAGGAAAATATGTGCCATGTAGGGTCCTGTCGAACCTTCATCCTGGGCAAGTGCGCCTTCTGTCCTTCCGAATATGTGATGCCACCGTGAGCCCGTTTGCTGCTGGTCACAGCGCAGCGTACAGGTTGGTCCGCCGCATAACCTCCATTTTACTGCCCAAGCGGCACGTGTGTAGGCTACGTGGGGTCGTGTAGTCCTGTCGCTATCTTTTGCGACCACTTCGGCAGGTGCGTTGCTCTTCATCCCTCGTCTAAGTTTGTCAAATTGGGAGCAACTTTCGCACAACGTCAATGCAACTTGGTTATGGTCGGACATCATGGAAACTGAGTTTGAAGATGATAAAAGTAGGTCCTCCTTTCAAAGGTTCTTAAAGTTTCGCACGTTTCACACCACTCGCAGCTCCTTATTGCTCGTCCTCTGAGCGCGTTTCCGAATGCCGTTTTTTTCCTTCTTTGTCCCGGGAGACCTCTCAAACCGCCAGCCGACATCTTATCTCGCGTCCTGCCGACTACTACTACTACACGCCGCGTCATCAGTCGTTGTGGCTGGATGCCGGAGCCGGGGGCGCAGCACAACACGCAGCAGCAGTGGGGCATGTTCAAATTGTTTCCCAGCCCAATCCCCGTTTTATGGCGCCGTGGAGGGCGGAGGGGCTGTCGGGGTTGTTGTCGCCCCGCCCGCCCCGCCCCGCCCTGGGCCCTCTCCTCTGCTCCTTGCGCCCCCGCACACCACACCACCGCAGCACCTCGCGGCTGCCCGTTTATTTACCCTCTGTTTGACAGAATGGCTCCCCCTTGTTTCCACTCGGCTTTTATTTCCAGAACGGCACCCTCTCCTTTCCCCGCGCCCCGCCCTCGCCGCGCGCACCAACTCCTCCTCCTCCTCGCTCGGCGCCTCTCGACAAGTGTGAACTCTTTTGATTTTCATCTGTATGGCATCAATCGCTCCCTCCCCTCTCCCCCTCCCTGTCCCCGCTCTCCCGTCTGCTCTCGGGCGGAGCAGCCGTGGGGCCCGTGAGCGAGCGAGTACGACAGACGCCAGTTGGGAACGAAAGCCTTTTCTTCCTGTCTCGTGGGCCTCCTCCTCCTCCCCCCCATTCCCCTGGCCTGGCGGCCCGGTCCCGCCGCCGCCTCCTCCTCTTCCCTCTCCTCCTCCCCCCCCTTTCCCCGTTCCCCTTCTCTCTCCTCCTCCTCCCCCTTTCCCCTTTCCCCTTCTCTCATGCCCGACGGCCCGCCTCGCTTGTTAGAAGACAAATGAAACAAATAATTACGATGAGTGCTCTAAACGCTGCCCGTTCATCACGCTCGCCGTGCTGCGCGGCCGCGCCTCCCGAGGTATGAGAAATGTGGCGGTCATTATATATCGGCCCTGCAGTATTCGCGCCGATCAGTTGATGGTCGCGGGGGAAGGGAGAGGAGCGGCAGGGGTTAAGTCGGGGGCGCCGTTGGTACTCTTCTTGCGTTTCGTTCGCGGCGGCGGCGGCCACCTCACCCTCACCCTCGCCGCTCCCCTCCGCCCGCCGCCCGGGGGTCGTGCGGTCTCATTTCCGGCGACGCCGCGCGGCCCGCCGCCGCCCGCTTCACGGCCATCCTCTCCTCCACTCCTCATCTCATCGCTCTTCCTCCCCTACGGCAGGATAGGGAGTGCCGCCGCGGCGGGGGCGGGCCGCCGTCCACCCGATAACCCCTTTTGGCGTGACCACGCGACGCTTGTCCGCTGGCCGCCGCCGCCGCCGCCGCCGCCGCCGCCGCCGCCGCCGCCGCCGCCGCCGCCGCCGCCGCCGCCCGCGCGCCTTTCAAATGGGCGCCTTGCATTGGCCACTTGGCGCTGGAACAAGGCGTCTGATTGGCTGTCGGTCCCCGCGGCCCCCCAGCGCCACGGCGAGCGGCGAGGCCAGGGCGCCCACAGGTGTGCGGGGGCGCAAGCCTCTCAAGTGCTCACTATTGCCACGGTATGTGCAATTTGTTCTCTTTACCGCTATGTGTTCCGTTTTGCGTTGCATACCGGGGGTCTCATGAAAGACGCAGGTGCGGGCGGGTTTGCCTATACCCACTCTGGCCTGGCCTTAAGGCGTCGCAGACACGGTTTTACAAAATTTTCCCTTGTCCCTCAAAAATGCAGGCATATTGTCTTTACCGTGATAGCCGCCTGGGTAGGCAAACCCGCCCGCTCCTGCGTGTTCTATGAAACACCAGCGGCACGTGCTGGCAGGCGGTATTATGGGTGTCGTTCGCGACGAGATGGACTACGGTACGGAGAGAGCAGAGGTTCGCGCCTATGGTGCGGTGAGGAGCCGGGGGAAGTGAAGTCTATCTCGCGGAGGGGGGAGGGGAGGGCGCAACCAACCCACCCGCCGCCCCGCCTTGCCCCGCGCTCTTGCCCTGCTCGCTCGCGCGCCGCACCGCCGCGGCCGCCGACTTTCCCCGGCTATATTGATTCAATTTGAATGGATTAAATTGCCAGGGCCCGCCTGGGGGCCGCCTGCTCCCCGCCGCCACCGCCGCGCCGCGGGTCTTTATGCTCCTCTTCTGCTACATCGTAATCGTAGTCTAACCATAAAGTAAGCGGCCGCGGCTCCCACGACGCCCCCAGTGCGCACTGCGCATCGCCTCTCTCTCCCGCGCGGGGCGCTTTTGTGTAGCCAGCTCTCTCTGCGATGTATCGTATGTGTGTATCTTCTACTTTCACGATAAAACGAGCAGCAGCAGCAGCAAGGGAAACAAACTTAAATAACACCGGAGCGGCCCTACAGCGTCTTCTCAAAACTAGTTTATATCCCATATCGCGCAGCGGGGCGTAGCGCGGCCGCCCTTACAAGGCGCTAAAGGGTGCCCCGCCCCGCCCCACCCCGCCCCGCAATGCCGCTCCTTAATTAGTCA